CCCCTATCTCAGGCCGAATCAAATCCAGGAGAGCCCTCCTTCCCGCCCCCCCAGGAACAGCGAGGCCACGAAGGAGTTTAATCACCCCCTACCTTTCTGCCCCAAGCTACAGAGTCCAGAGAGAGCTCAGAGGGTCTGGTTTCATTCAGAATCCGGAGCAGATTGACCTCCTTGAAGAGATACCATGGGGGAAATCTATCCTTTCCCTCTTTTCTCCCCCAAACCCTGTCTACCTGAGATCGAAATGGTGCATGAATAGGGTCAGATCTGTCCTTTAAGAAATCTTCCCTGTACTCCAACTCAATTCTGTGTGAAATACAAAGAAATCACACTGCCCTTATTAGATTAAAATGTAATAAAAACACATTAGGTCCGGTAAAATATGAATGCACGGCTTAAAATTTTAATGGTAAATTAAGACCCAGATACAGGGTAGGAGACTGTGATTTCTCCCCTTGGGATGGCTGCCGGCCGATTTCGGGGTCGTGGGAGGGCGCCCACTGCAGAGATCCCGCTGCTGGGGAGCTTGGGCAGAACCTCAAGCGACTCCTGGCCCGCCCAGAGGGAAGCTGGTCACATCTGTCTGCATCTGGCAGCATATGGGACAGAAGCTATTGTCAAACAAAGAGGCTTGGTGAGAAGAAAGGCTTTCCTCATGTAGTCACACATTTGATTCATTTTCCATTTCTCTGCTTTTAAAAAAACACTTCTCTGCTTTCAGTTTATTAGGTAGGTCTGTAGGTGTGCAGAGGCACCAAGACGGATAGGTGCTTGGGTATGAGACTGTATTTTGAGGTCATACGAAGAAGATTTTGGATATCGGGCCGCTCGCTCACTTCCCTTGGGTTTACCCCCAACTTTTCAGTCGTTTAGATGGCCTCCCCTACCCGGATGGCTGGAGTCTTCCTCCCTCGGAGAGCGGCTTCCACATTCACTGGAGCACTTTGCAGCAATGCCTGTGGGCAAAACCCAAATGGGTTTTATTGATATCGCAAGGATGTTGGTATTCTGGACACTCCTGGAACGAGAGATCGCAAGATTGCAAGTCGTGGTGATTAAGGAAGAATTGCATTTTCTCTCTATTACAACACAATCACTGCTGTTCATTTTTCACTTTAAGTGGGAAAAGGACAGATCTAACTCTGCTGCGACCTCTTTTTTTTTTTCTTTTAAGTGTGTGTTTTCTAGGGGTAATGGAATACAGGTAAATAAACTCGAATTGCTCACTATATATTAATTTATCTCAACTTGGCAATTAGAATAAAAAGTTTCCTTTTTTCCTGTCTGGAATTAGACTTATCACTGACAAATCTCTGAGAGTAAAAACAAAGTTATAGTAAGTTAATTTAATGATATATGGATTTTAGCCATCAGGACAATATTCTCTTGGGAGTTGTCTTGCTTAAAATAGTTTTAATTGATCAATTCCATATCAAACAAAGTTTGTCCAGTCATTTCAACAGTGTCCTCTTTATTTCATGAATTTATTATACTACCTTATTTACCATATGAAGTGGCGACAAGTGTTTAGCATTTTGGAGATCAGTTGTCAGTTGCTATTAAAATCAAGATTAATTCATATTAACGATATGCATTTCTCAATACTCCCAGGTGACAACATACATTAAAACAACTATTGCAAGTAATTAAGCTCAGTGAAGGGGGAGGGGACAGGGAGAGGTTCAAAACACCCCCAAATATTTGATTTTGCAATCCAAGTTCAGCAGACTGTTGCCACAATAATGCTTGGGAAACTCCTCAGGGTTGCTTTTCACTTTACATCTAATTAGGCACCTAATGAAAGAGAAGAATTTTTTCCCCATGTGGTTTTTCTCCTTGATATTCTTATGCCTTTATTTAAACACATAAACACACTGTTTAGGAGGTGCAATGCCCAAAAGTTTCTCCTGTGATTCACTTACTGTTATAATTTGGGGGAAGGAGGTAGATACGAACATTTGTCTTCCAGTTATTTTCCTCCTCCACACTCACTTTAGCCCTTTGGCCCTTACACAGTACTGACAGAAAACATATCCCAAATATTTTACTGTATTTAATATTTTTATTAGGCTTTAGAGATGCTCAACAGTTTATACTAATTAGACCATCCATAGCCTTTTGAAGATTAAGCAAATTGGACAATCCTTGTTAATTAGAACATAATTTGAAGTTTGAAATTATATCATTGATGAAGTAGTCTAATTAGTATGATGATGTGTTAATGGACCAGTGAGACACAGCAACGGTGGAGTTCCGCGTGAAACTCTCCAAGGCTTGCACAAAAATCCTCCCTCCTATACCAGACATTAATAAAAGATTTCTATAGACTTCAGCCTTTCCACAATGACAGACAATTTATAGTACACACAATGCATTAGCCCATAGTGCTGCTCAATTTTTTCACTATTATGAAAACTAATAAATTCGTCAAGCTGAATTAAGCATACAAATCAGATGAGGCATAGCAGATTACACAGTGAAGCGCGGTGTCTCCCGAGCCTAAATGAAATTTCAATCTAATAATTCCTTCCTGGCCCAGTCATAATTTGTTTAGAGATGTTGTTCTACTTCTTTCAAAGCGCTATTCGCACTATAATTAAATGATACTCAAGCTTTTAACTTTGATTTATTTCATTTCTCGAAGCTTGAGACAGTGAGAGCTGTACAATGTCATTTTTTTTTTGTTTCTTTGAAAATTACCGTGGCTGTTATGGAGGTAGAAATTAAACACCTAAGCATTTACTAGAACCGTCCAGCGCAAGCCACATTCATTCATGTCAACACCCCCTGTCCAGTCTCGTGTCTAGACTTCTCCGGTCTCATGCTCGGGAACAGTGCTGGTAGGAATCCCCTTCAGCCACTATTTATTATTTTCCTCCACATAGGGGAGGAGAAAGGCAAGTCCTGGGATAGCGCTGGAAAGCGCAAGGAGGTTAAGGACCGTGGACAGAGCCCGTCGCGCGCCGTTGGTCGCCGCCTTCCCTGTACTCTTTGGCGACTCCCGGGGACTGTGCTCCCAACTTGAACCTGCCATCCCGCTCCGTTGAGGTCATGGGTGAACCGGCGGCCCCCTACTCCCTGCCGCCGCGGGGCTTCCGGCCGCTGACCACTCGAGGGCCCCCCTTCGCTACGCTCCGTTCCACTCTGTTTTGTCCCAGCGCGCGCCAGCGTCTCTCAGGCCTGCCGCCTGCTCTCGCACCTGCTCGCTTTCCCCAGGCACCGTGTGCCTGCACCTGCTCCCAGTCACCCCAGTCCGGGTCAGTCCACCCGCGGACTCCAGTGTCCGGGTCTCGCGGTCTTCTCACCCTCGCCTATACCCTACTCCTTCCGCGCTCTGGGGAGGTGACAGCAGCCCCTAACATCGAGGGAAGTAGAAGATCGGAGGAAGGAGGAGAGGAAGGTGGTGTGTGTTGGGGGGGGGTGGGGGGGTGGAAGGTTGTCTCCTGCTTTTACTATTGGAACTAAAAGTGTGTCCACTTCTAAGAAAAGTGGTCCGCACTGGGACAAAAGTGCGAGCAAAGTGTTGGCTAAAAATAGGCTCACTGCGCCGAGCGGCTGTGGAAATGAAGATAAGTGGGGCTTGTGCCAACCCCGGAGGGCGTGTGTGTGTGTGTGTGTGTGTGTGTTGGGGTGGGGGGGGGTGTGTGTGTTCAGCAGCACATGCGCTCTGTGATCTCTGGTCCTGCCTCTCCCTCCATCAGTTACCCCTTCCTCTTTTGATTGTGGCTAATGAAGAATAATAAAATCAGTGGCAGGATTTGCCAGTGGATCCGCCCAAGACCCAATTCACACTGAATTTGGATACAGGGAAGAGGAGGAAGATCCGGAGGAAGAGAAAAGAGGGTGGAGAGGAGAGTATGTCGGTTGGGGGGGCGTAGACAGGGTTGCGGTGGGGGCGGAGGGGGGGGGGGAGTCGCATGCGCATAGGCGACCCGAGCTGGCTCCGTGGCCGTCCAATCCGCTGAGAGCTGCAAGAAACCGAGTGAGAGAAAGCCCTGCAGCCCTGTCGACCCCATGTCTCTTCGGCACCAGGCACCCGCCGGGCCGAGGGGGTGCAGCGCTGAGCGCCAACTACTGCGTGCACCAGGCGGAAGCGCAGAGCTGCGCGGAGGAGCTGGGCGGGTGGCAGCGTCCGCGTCCTCTCCTTCGGCCGAGAGTCGGAGATCCGGGTCACCTGAGCTACGGGGAGGGGCGGGCCGAGTGGGGGCGGAGGCCTGGAACTTAGCGGTAAGCAGGAGGGGGGAAAGCAGCCAGGTAAGAGACGTTCCTAGTAGTCTGGGGGGAAAAAAACCCACCCAAGGCTGGCTTGGCCAGCAACTTTATTTAGGAGTTTCTTTTCCCGGCGTGGCGGAGACTAGGCGGTTAGAAGCAGGAGGGGCTGGAGGCCGGCTCTTAGGAACTGCCGGGCGACTGGAGCGCAGACCTAGACGGTGGGGTGGGGTTGAGCAGGGGCACTAAAGTAAGTGAGAGCTGCGGGGCGTCGGGAAGGGGCGGCGGCCTCAACGCGCGGGCGGGGGCCGGAAGGGGAGGTGGAGGGCGCAGTGGGGAGAGGGAGGCGGGTGTCGGGAGAGCTGAGCGGATCCGACTCGAGAGGGAGCAAAGAGGGAGAAGGGGCGACGCTAGAATCCAAGCAGGAGAAACCGGCACTTCCTGGCAAGGAGGGCGGAGGCGCGCGGGAGGGAGGGAGAGAGGGCGGGGGTAGGGGGCAGGCGCGGGGAGAGGGGAGTATAACTCAGCGGCCGCGAGGCGCGGGGGCAGTTTCGGGCGCCCGGGTCTGCAGCCAGCGCCAAGCGGAGCCCAGCAACCCCTCAGACGGACGGCGGAACCCGAGGAGGAGCGCGTAGTCCCGGCGAGGCGCACAGACCTGGGAGCGGTGGAGGGAGAGCGCAACTTTGCTCTGCCCTTCCCTGCTCCTGCGCCCACCCGGCACTTCTCAAGAGGGTCCTGGCAGACGGGACCTGTGCGTGCGCTACGGACGAGCACCCGGGCGCACCGGGAAGATGATGATGATGTCCCTGAACAGCAAGCAGGCGTTCAGCATGCCGCACAGCGGCAGCCTGCACGTGGAGCCCAAGTACTCGGCACTGCACAGCGCCTCGCCCGGCTCCTCCGCGCCCGCGGCGCCCTCCGCTAGCTCCCCCAGCAGCTCGAGCAATGCTGGCGGCGGTGGTGGTGGCAGTGGCGGGGGCGGTGGAGGCCGTAGCAGCAGCTCCAGTAGCAGTGGCGGCAGCGGCAGCGGCGGCGGGGGCTCCGAGGCGATGCGGAGAGCGTGTCTTCCAACCCCACCGGTGCGTATTTCTGCATAATCACCGCTTAAAGGCACATTTTGACAGCCCCCTTTATCTGCTTGATGTTTTTTTCATGTCTGCACAGCAAATCACCCCACACCTCCAACCAATTTCCCCCCTCTCTCTCTTATGTATTCAGCGGGTCTTTTCTTTCATATTAATTTTTATGACCTGGGATGTTGCGCGTGTTGTGTTGTGTTGTGTTTGCAGGCTCACTTTCCTCCTCCTCCTCGTGCACGCTCGGCTTTTCTCAGTGACTTCCTTCCTTTCCGCCTCACTTGCTACTTTCAGGATTATTATTATTATTATTATTATTATTATTATTATTATTATTATTATTTTAACGTTCTGGGAATGTTGTAGGTGCGGCGGCGTTGTCGAGCGCTTGTGCCGGGGCTTCCGGAGAGAGTGCGCACAATTCCCTGCTGAGCGTAATGTGTGCCTTTTACTTGCAATTGCAGAGCAATATATTCGGCGGGCTGGATGAGAGTCTGCTGGCCCGAGCCGAGGCTCTGGCGGCGGTGGACATCGTCTCCCAGAGTAAGAGCCACCACCACCATCCGCCCCACCACAGCCCCTTCAAGCCGGACGCCACCTACCACACCATGAACACCATCCCGTGCACGTCGGCTGCCTCTTCTTCGTCGGTGCCCATCTCGCACCCGTCCGCGCTGGCGGGCACGCACCACCATCACCACCATCACCACCACCACCACCATCAGCCGCATCAGGCGCTTGAGGGCGAGCTGCTGGAGCACCTGAGTCCCGGGCTGGCCCTGGGTGCCATGGCGGGCCCCGACGGCGCCGTAGTGTCCACGCCAACTCACGCGCCGCACATGGCTACCATGAACCCCATGCACCAGGCAGCGCTCAGCATGGCCCACGCGCATGGGCTGCCTTCACACATGGGCTGCATGAGCGACGTGGACGCCGACCCCCGGGACCTGGAGGCATTCGCCGAGCGCTTCAAGCAGCGACGCATCAAGCTGGGGGTGACCCAGGCCGATGTGGGCTCCGCGCTGGCCAACCTCAAGATCCCTGGCGTGGGCTCTCTTAGCCAGAGCACCATCTGCAGGTTCGAGTCCCTGACGTTGTCGCACAACAATATGATCGCGCTGAAACCCATCCTGCAAGCGTGGCTCGAGGAGGCCGAGAAGTCCCACCGCGAGAAGCTCACCAAGCCCGAGCTCTTCAACGGCGCGGAGAAGAAGCGCAAGCGCACCTCTATCGCCGCGCCAGAGAAGCGTTCGCTTGAAGCCTACTTCGCCATCCAGCCGCGGCCCTCCTCCGAGAAGATCGCCGCCATCGCGGAGAAGCTGGACCTTAAGAAAAACGTGGTGCGCGTCTGGTTCTGCAACCAGAGGCAGAAACAGAAAAGAATGAAATATTCTGCGGGCATTTAGGAGACCCTTGGCCTCTCCAGGGACAGCCCCTCATCATCCCCTCTTTTCCCTCTCTCTCTCTCCTGCCTCTTTTCTTTCCACTTTTGGCTACCAGAAACAATTCAGTAAATGTGAATCCGGAGAAAGCGAGGGTTGGAGAGCGAGCGAAGGAGCGAGCAAAGGTGCCCAAGCCCGGTGAGAATGTGAAATGATTTCTCAAAGGAAAGAAACAGAAAGGATTTGTCAAGTTGTAGCAAAGTTGTCCCTTTTAACCCCACCCCGTCCGGAAAAGGCACCTCGGCTTCTTCACAGGAAGTCTGGAGCTGGCTGTTTGCAGAAAGGCAGACGAGACAGCCTTTTAAAAGGCCCCCAAAATGAGCAAGTAAGATTTGTTTTTATTCCTAAAGACATCACCCTTGTTCAAGTTTAAAAGTACACTTTGCAGCTATTTTTCAGAAATAGAAATCGATTCAGGACTGAAACTTTAAACTAGAGTTGATGCTTAATGTGACAGAGACATCTCTAAAGTATTTTGAATTAAAAAAAGATGGCAGATTTTCTGCATTTACACTGTATATTATATATATATTTTTATTGTGGTTCTTACCCCCTTCTTCCTTCTCTGAAGTGTTAATGCTTAAGAAAGGAGTTGCGCCTGCTGTGTTCACTGATCTTGAAAGCTATTATTAGATTATTGCCGAACAACCCTCTGTAAATTATTAATTTATCTCTCTAGCAACTTAATTTGTGCACATTCTAATTAATTAAACTTCTTTAGTCTAAAAAACGGGGGAAACGTATGGCTAGTGGAGTTAAACAATTTTATGTTTGATGAGTTTACTGAATTTTTATGGCTTTCCTCTTATACTGTGTTCCTTTTGGCCCATTTGTATATTCTCACTTTGAATGACGATTGTTTTTTCTTTGTTTTTACTGGTAGTGTTCTGATTTGTGAGTCGACACTCAGTAATGGATGTCTTAATCGTGTAGACCTGATTCACTGTCCAAAGTATTGTTTACTTTGTTGCATATTTAATGGGGATTCCCACATTGTCCCCACTACACACGCGCTCTCTCACTCACCCTTACACACACACACATGCACACACGCACACACGCACACCTCTAATGGAAGAGAAGAAGTGAAGCAGTTGGAAGCATGACTATGATGCATCATTTTCTAGCTTTAGGTGCATTTGCCACTTGGTGTTTGCCCTTCCAGATTCTAAGATTTCACCAAGGTATTTCAGTCTTCTTGTTTTCAATTGCTTTGTTGACTACATTTTAACATTTACAAGAATCCTTCAGTTTTTCCTTTTGGAGGTTTGTTTGTAGAAAAACTTATCTGAACTATAAGAAAGACAGTGCACTGCTTGTAAATTCACATTGTTTGGTAGAATTCTTTTGGAACAAAAAAATTAGGTACATGGTGACTGGTACCTTATCTATTGTAAATATTCCATTCAAATGATGCACATATAGATATATTCTTACAAATTTTGCTGTATTGCTGTTCCATTTGAGGCTCTCTGAAGTCTTGAGTTCTGTATATGACCTGGTTTCTTGTTTTTTTTGTTAATAGATGGTTTATTTACTATGGTAATGTATTAAGTTATTTTTGGTGTTGTTTGATTGTCTTTCATTGAAAAGATGATTTTAATGTTTTATTGGCAAAGTATGCTGCTTTTTTCATTAAAATATACTATTAAAATTAAATGGCTTTTAAAATGTGATGTTGTTTTCAGTCATTTACATGGAAATTATTTTGATGGGGGATTTTTTTTAAAGCACAAGCATTTTGATGGTTTATTATAGAGTTGGTATCATAGTCTGATTTGGAATTTAGTAGGGAGTGTTTCTCTAGGAAGGTGTAAAAGAACAGGCTTTATAATAGTCTTCTAATAGCTAGAGCTCATCTCACAGGGTGCTTTGCCTTTCTGTCCAGATGAGATTGTGATATTTGGCTCTAGATACATCCCTTGGAATCTCTTCTCCGGATCTGCAATAATTCTGCAAAGAGAATCTTTGTGAGCAGAGGTATTACATAGGTAAAAGGAAGAAAAGAACTCAGTTTAGTTTTCAGCAACATTGGGAGACTGGGTGTGGCAAGAGGCCTATTTCTGGGAGTAGGACACCCTGGTTTAGGCCTAGGGGCTAAATTCTCAGTTCAGTCACCACTCCTGGAGAGTAATGCCCCAACCAGAGAAGGGAGCACCAAGGTTACTGGGTTATGAAATAAAGCACGTCTCTGTTTCTCTCTCTCGTTCTCTCCCTCCATTTCCATAATCTTTACACAAACTTACATTTGCAATAGTTAGAGTGGATCAAGGAAGAAATCCTGGGTGGTTAGAAGGAGTAGATTTTTGCCTCCTTTGTATCACTCACTCAGACACCAGAGTTGGTGGAATCTAATGGGCTGGCACAAAGAAATTCTGCCCTTTGATATACATACTTTTAAAAAAATTTTGATCCTAATTTAAAGATACCTCCTCACCCATTTTAAGCAACATATTAGGTTTTCAAAGATTTTTTTTTTTCAGGAAAGCTCTGGTTTTGATATTTACATTATTAATGATGAGAAGAACACCTTACTAATCTATAGGTCCAACAAGAGGAAGGAACCAGGGGGTCCTCTCGGGAAAATTCTGCTACTCTGAGCTATGACCTCATATGGAACTGTTTGGGGATGTTTCTTATTTTGAAGATAAGGTTAGAAAATATCCCATGAGTCAATGAAAATTGTTATAGTGGCTCAAATTGGGATTAAATGTTGTTAGAGAACATTGTGATTTTCAGACGTAACAAAAAGAACTGTGAGAATTAATGGATAATAAGTGGAGGGACTTCTTTTTCTACAACTTAAAGAAGACACCAGAGGAGACAAAATCTATGTGTCCATTTAGAAACAATGAGATATATTGTATAGATGCTTAAGGAATATTGAAAGTTGTAGGGATTTAAAGGAAAGAATTGTGAATCCAGATATAGCGATATTGATGGTTTAATTTTATTCTTATATTTTGGAGGTTGAAAGTCCCTTCTTTTGCCTGGGTGGCTCAGTTGGTTAAGCGACTGCCTTCGGCTCAGGTCATGATCCTGGAGTCCCTGGATCGAGTCCCGCATCGGGCTCCCTGCTCAGCAGGGAGTCTGCTTCTCTCTCTGACCCTCCCCTCTCTCATGTGCTCTCTCTCTCTCATTCTCTCTCTCAAATAAATAATCTTAAAATATTAAAATCTTAAATAAAATCTTAAAAAAATCTTAAAAAAAAAAAAAAGAAAGTCCCTTCTATGTTACCATCTATTCTTAGATTCAGTTTTCTTGAAAAGTCTTTTCAAATAGCCAGCCTCTATCTCACTACTCTAGGTCCTGGTTTCAGCACCACGGATAGTAACCACATGACTTAGTCCTCCTCCAACACATATTTGACCAAGCAGTGTCAACCAGCTGGAGAACTTTCTGCTTGCTGACTTTTGTCAAAGTAGAGAAAATGGATTAAATGGCTTGAGTATGTAGCAAGCCAGGCTTGCTGATCTAGGATTAAAATCATCTTCAATAAATAACACCTTCTCCCCCTATGTGGCTGTTATCTAAGTCTAGGATATGTGCCTTAAGAGAAAGGGGAGTCCATTAGAAGGAAGACAGGTGTGCTAGTGTTTTTTTTTCTTCTACAAATGACATCGTTAAATGAAGAGAGAAGTCCTGTAAAAGTAGTAGAAATTGAGAAATATATTGAACAGAATAAAATAGGTATTCTTTTAGGGCATTTGAAGTACATGATAGCTTTCATGTATGCATGTTTGTCCAAGATTTTTATGACAAAAATGACATAACAGCAACTATTCATTTACTTCAACAGATGAGAGTGAAGGTCTGTATTTCCCCTCTCATTCACCAAGTATTTTTTGTCTCCCATGTTCCTGCACTTTAAAAACTGCATCAGTTTTAAGTACCTCTTCTGTATGTTATTACAAAGGTAAAAGAAGCTCTCTTGCCTACAAGGTGGAAATTATATCCATTCTTTAAGCTTACTTAAATGTGTTTGTTATATGGGAAAATCGGAATTTTAAAAAAGAAATATATTCTGAAAGTTCCTATTAATGAGAATTGCAGAGACATATCAAAACAAGCCAAAGGGATTTGGAGAGAAGAGGATTGGTCTTAAAGAAGAAATTAAAAGTAAGAACAGTATAAATTGTTGAGAAATATTTATTTAGTATTGACTTTCAAAGTACTGAAATGGATAAATAGCAAGTTGTGGCTGAAGAGCCTTGTCATATCAATCAAACCCATTGACATTCATGACTCATTTCCTAATTTTTTTCTTCAAGGTCCACAATTACTATTTAATTAGAAAGAGATATTTTATGAATTGACTTAGCAACACACCTAGTCATCCTCAATTTGACATTTCAGAACTATGCAGTTTATTTTTTAAAACTTCTCCAAAGGCAAATGATCCAATCTTTTTGTTCAATGTGATCATCTAAATCTAAACTGAATGGAATAAATGTCCAACAACAAAGATCATGTAAGGCCTGGTTGATATCTGAGTTCTCTCTACACCAATTGTATTGATATTATCTAGAAAGAGTGTAGTTTTCTTTGGATATTTGACATTAAATCAGTTGGTCAATTCTTCATCAGATTACGTCTCATTGACACATAGCTTGGGGAAAATAATGGAAATTAAAAAAAGCAAATGAAATAATTAGGATTTATGTTCAACATAATGCTCTTCTATTTTCTATAAAATGTATTTTTAAAATAAATAACAATACATAACTAAGTCTTTTTACTGTCAAGGACAGATTCTGAGGCCTCTCTTTGCCAAGGGACTTGGAATTTGGGGTGTAACAATGCTTTATTTCAAACTTTAAATGAATTCATTTTGATCTATCTATTGGGGACACTCTTGAGGACATGGTAGAAAGGCATTAAACAATTCACTTGATTTTAAAAGGTGTATTATTCAGAGGATGAAGCTCAGATTTTTCCAAGCAAGCCATGACAGTAAGTTTAGA